CTCTCTCCTCTCTCCCCTCTCTCCCTCTCTTTTTCTCCCTCCCTCCTTCCTTCCCTCCCTCTCTACCTCCCTGTCTTCTCTCCCTGTCCCTTGTGCTGGTCCCTGTTACTTGTGGGACTGGCCTTCTTTCTCTCATTTGCCTCCTTCAGGAGCGAGTGTAAGGGGAGGGAGGGACTCCCTTCCCGGCCCGGCCCCCACGGGCACCGGGTGAGCTGTCTCTTTCTCTCCTTTCTGCCTCCTTTCCCCTCACACCTTTTGCAACCGAGATCCCCGTTCAGGGGAGGTGGGATGGGGGGCGCCCTTGTTTTCCTTTTGGGGAGCAGATCTCTCCTCTTGGGCTCCAGTGGCCCAATTCTTCTGCTGTGGCGTTTCCGAGGCCCAGAGCTGTGTGGAGTGTGGAGCGCCGCCCCCTGCCCCCTTCCCTGGCAGGTCCTGGATGGGCACCCGCTGTCCCGGCCCTGGGGCGTGGGCAGGGTGGGCTCCTGGGGGTGGGGGGTGGGTGGGTTCTGATCTCACACACTTGCAAAGCTGCAGTCAGGGTTCCTTTTGGGCTGTGGTGTTAGAGGACCAGGGAGCGGGTGGGCAGGCACAGACCTGCGCTGGAGACCTCCACAGGCCCCGTAATTTCTCACAGAGGACCCCACACCCCATGGGGGATGGCTGTCAGCCTGAAGGCAAGGTGGCTGGCTGGCGTAGAGACAGTCACTTCCTCCCCAAGAGGCATGTGGAAGCTGACCCATGCGAGGTGGGCGGCAGGGGTTGGGATGAGGCCCATCGGAGTCCCTGGCCTGTGACATTACGACGGTCTGTGGAGCATCCCCGCGAGGGTGGTGGGGCGAGGTCCCTCCAAGCTGCCCCCTTCCCTACCCCTCGCCTCCCCCATCTCAGGAGGCCTGGGCTGCGCCAAGGCCACTCCCATCCGCCCTCCCCCCTCTCCTGGAGTCTCCCACCAGCACCAGCCACTCTTCTTGCAGGCCGTGGTTTGGAGACCGCAGCACTGGATCCTTCCGCTCGCTCGGGGCTGGGTGTGGGAAGGGCAGAGGAGATGTTGGAAGCTTGGTGCTAGGGAGGTGGCCTTATTGCCCAAAGGCCCCGGGCAGATCTTTCCTCCTCTGTCCCCCTTCCCCAAGATGACATATAACTTTTTCCTCTGCCTGACACCCTCTGACTAGATCAGACTCTGAGACCTCCCACCACCCCCTTCAGAAACACACAGACCCTGGCTTGGGTAGGGGGGTACCGGGGGCACAGGGGATGAGGGTGGAGGCCAGGTGTGGTGGACAGAATTGGGTCAACCCTAAGGGCATTGGGGACAGGGGGTGGCAGGGCCTCAGAGCCTGAGCCAGGACCCAAAAGTGGCCTGGTTCCGGCCCATCTGTGCCTGACTCCCCTGCTCCTCCAGGAAGGGGTGCTCCTGGCTGCTTTGTGCCCAGGGAACCTGGGGCCAAGATGTCCCTGGTGCTGGAAGGGAGGCTGAGCATCTCCCACCTGACAGCCAGGTGGGAAGTGGAGACCGAGAGTGGCTCCTGCCCGGGGCTGGTGCCAGGTCCCTCCCTGTGCCCCTGGCGCTGGCCAAGAAGGAGCAGAGAATTCACCGTAGCCCCTGCCCGTCCCGGCCCTGCCTTCTGGGTTCTGCTAGCGGGAGGAAGTGACAGGGAGGCGCTAGCCCCCTGGCCAGGGGGCATCTGGCAACACCCTGGGAGGAGGAGGAGGTGGTCTTGGCCACACTGCCCCACCAGACCAGTAAAGGACAGGCGAGGAGCAGGTGGCACTGGGACATGGGCAAGGGCGGGCAGGCCAGCGGCGGCCAACGAGATGCAGTCGAGGTTTTCCTCTTTTCAGGGAATTTGGGGGGTGGGGCGGGGCCCCCCACCTTTCTGACATCAGCGCTGCCTTGGTCCCTCCTCCCGAGCCGGGGATGGTCGCAGGTAAATCAGGGTCGGGGCAGGGGAGGTGGAGGGGGTGGGCTGGGGCGGGCTGGGTCTTTATCCTAGCTCCTGGTTCCCTCCCTTGCCCCCTCCGAGCTGGACCTGGGACTGCCCCCGAAGGGACCCTCATTTGGGCCTGGGCCTTGGCGTGAATTCTCTGCTCACCCTCTCTCCTCCGCCAGCACTAACCCTTTCTTCCCAGGTGGTCTGCGGAACCTCCCTTGGAGCCAGGATTCGAGGAGCCCCCCACCCCGTCTCTCTTCCCTCCGTGCAGCTCTCCTCTACCCTTCCCTGCCCTCCCGGGAGTCCCGTCACCCTCCATGTCCCTGTCCATCCACCCCTGTGCACCAGTGTCTGCTGCTGAGCCTAACTCTGAGACCCTGCTGGCTGGAGGGCCAGGCGCCTTCCCACCTGGCCTAGCCTGGGGGTTGCCCTCAAGCTCCTCCTCAGCTACTGACTGCAGGGGACCAGTGGGTGGGGGCTCATGCCACATCAGGAGCCTTGGGAGAGAGCTGATACCCCTTTGCCTCTCCCACATTGGAGTTGGGGTGCTTCTGACACCCAAAATAGGCTCAGAAACACTGCTGAACCTTGCAATTTTTTCAGGAGGAAGAAAGTGAAGATTTTTCTTTAAGAAACCTGTCCTATTGTGGTTGATTAAGGATAGAACACTGGACCCTAGTGTTTTCATAGAGATGTAGGAGAGTGATGATCAGTCAGGGTCACTGCTATGGGGACTGTTCCCAGCCACCCCAGTCACACCAGAGCTGGCTCTGGGAGGGCGCTCACCAGCTCTCGTTCCCAGCCTGGGGGGTCTCAAGCAGGAAGGGAAGAGGGCGCCGCCTCCCACACTAACCCTGCTCTTGATGGCCTGCAGCGACCTCAGCTCCAGGGAGAGGGGCAGCTGGGCGGGCGGGGTCCCAGCCCGGAAACCCTCCTCCCATCACCAGCCCTACCAAGCAACCGTGACTGCAGCAGCAGGGGGGACAGCCTGGTCCCCATCACGTGACCAACTCGCCTCTCTCTCCCCTCTCTCCCTCTGTCCCCTTCGCGCCTCGCCCAGTCTTCGTGTGCCCGGGGACCCTGCAGAAGGTGCTGGAACCCACCTCGACACACGAGTCGGAGCACCAGTCGGGCGCATGGTGCAAGGACCCGCTGCAGGCGGGTGACCGCATCTACGTCATGCCCTGGATCCCCTACCGCACGGACACACTCACCGAGTATGCCTCCTGGGAGGACTACGTAGCTGCGCGCCACACCACCACCTACCGGCTGCCCAACCGCGTGGATGGCACAGGCTTCGTGGTCTATGATGGTGCCGTTTTCTACAACAAGGAGCGCACCCGCAACATTGTCAAGTATGACCTGCGGACACGCATCAAGAGTGGGGAGACGGTCATCAACACGGCAAACTACCATGACACCTCACCCTACCGCTGGGGTGGCAAGACCGACATCGACCTGGCAGTGGATGAGAACGGGCTGTGGGTCATCTATGCCACTGAGGGCAACAATGGGCGGCTCGTGGTGAGCCAGCTCAACCCCTACACGCTGCGCTTCGAGGGCACGTGGGAGACGGGCTATGACAAGCGCTCGGCCTCCAACGCCTTCATGGTGTGCGGTGTGCTCTATGTGCTGCGCTCTGTGTACGTGGATGATGACAGCGAGGCCGCTGGCAACCGTGTGGACTACGCCTTCAACACCAACGCCAACCGCGAGGAGCCTGTCAGCCTGGCCTTCCCCAACCCATACCAGTTTGTCTCCTCTGTGGACTACAACCCCCGTGACAACCAGCTCTACGTCTGGAACAACTACTTCGTGGTGCGCTACAGCTTGGAGTTCGGGCCACCAGACCCCAGTGCTGGTGAGGATGGCCCACTGTGGGCCACCAGCCTGCCTGAGCTTATTTCTCCCCACCCACCCCTAAGCCTCTGCTCCCAGGGTGAGGGGTCCGCTCTTGAGTCTTGGATCTATAGGTGGGTTCAGAGAGGTGCAGCTTGGGAGCGATGCAATCTGAGCGCTCCATAGTTAACTTAGCTAAGGCGCAATCTGCAAGGTGACAGGGTTTGTGAATGCCCTGGTTTACAGATGCAGAAACAGGTTCTGGATGAAAAAGACTAGCTTATTTGACTACTTGGCATACTGTCACAGGCCTGTGCTGCCTCTGCTTAGGGCCCCAGGCACACTGGTCCTGGGTGAGGTGGAACCCTGGGGACACCGGTTGTCAGCAGAAGACATGGCCCAGCTGCTGGGGTCAGCGAGGGAAGGCCCTTCTGCTATGCCACTTCCCTGTTCCCAGCTGTCCTGCACCAGCTCTGACCTACCCCAGGGGGCCTTCATTAATTCAGACTCCTTTGAAAATGGGGAAACCAAGCCCCGAGAAGAAAGAGTGGCCAGGTCACAGACCCAAGCCAGCAGGAACGTGGTGAGCATCAGCAGCAGCTGTGCTCAGGCCTCACCTTCTGGGTGGCTCTCCAGTGCATTTCTCCAGCCTACCAATACTCAAAGTGGTCAGCTGAGCACAGGGCATTGGCCAGGGCCCAGAGGCTGAGGGTGTCTGCTTCCACACCCAATAGGCCCAGGGCATCTTCCTTCCTCTTCCTAGGGGAAGAGGAGCAAGGACTGCCAGGGACTGTGTTGGGAGTGACCCTATCTCCATCCCCTCTTTCTTTCAGGCCCAGCTACATCCCCGCCCCTCAGCACAACCACCACTGCCCGGCCCACACCCCTCACCAGCACCGCTTCACCTGCAGCCACCACCCCACTCCGCCGGGCGCCCCTCACTACTCACCCTGTGGGCGCCATCAACCAACTGGGACCTGACCTGCCTCCAGCCACAGCCCCCGCCCCCAGTACCCGACGGCCTCCAGCCCCCAACCTGCATGTGTCCCCTGAGCTCTTCTGTGAACCTCGAGAGGTGCGGCGGGTCCAGTGGCCAGCCACTCAGCAGGGCATGCTGGTGGAAAGGCCTTGCCCAAAGGGCACTCGAGGTAAGTATAGCTGCTGCAGCTGCCACCACCATTGCCAGGCAGCTGGCCAGGGCATGCACACTGGCAGTTTCACCTACTCACAGTTGCCTGACTGTGGAGGGGTCTAGGGCATAGTGGGAACATGGCTAGGCCCTGGCCACCAGAGCTACAGAGGTGGCTGGTTCCTGACCTGGCTGGGGTAGAGCAGCCAGCTGCAAGATGGGCACACCAGGGCTTCAACATAGCCCTGCTGGAAGGCCACACCTCTGAAGGGCAGGGACAGGAGAGGGGTGGTCAGGAGAGAGGGTAAGTGCTGCCTTACCATTTCACATCTATCTCTGTGTTCCCCTCCTTGACCCCCCCTTCCTACCCCCACTCTCTCATCTCCCTCTCTGTCCTCTGCTCCTTCCCCGGCACCCTTGTCCCTGGTTGTCTGTCTCTACAGGAATTGCCTCATTCCAGTGTCTGCCAGCCCTGGGGCTCTGGAATCCCCGGGGTCCTGACCTCAGCAACTGCACCTCCCCCTGGGTCAACCAGGTGGCCCAGAAGGTACAGCGCAGGCCCCTCACAGACAGGTGTACACCTGGCCAGCAGAGCTGAAAGCAGCCCATGGGGTCTGCACTGGTCCTGGGAGGTGAAGTGGGGAGGGGCTGGGTACAGAGCAAAGGCGGGGAGGGCAGGTGAGCACCAGGCAGAGCTGAGCTGCCTTGTCCTGTCCTTTCCAGATCAAAAGTGGAGAGAATGCGGCCAACATCGCCAGTGAGCTAGCCCGCCACACCCGAGGCTCCATCTATGCGGGGGACGTGTCCTCATCAGTGAAGCTCATGGAGCAGCTCCTGGACATCCTAGATGCCCAGCTGCAGGCCTTGCGGCCCATTGAGCGCGAATCAGCCGGCAAGAACTACAACAAGGTGGGCCTGCAGCAAGGCAGATGGATACAACTAGGGACTCAGGGCATTGGACTGGTAGTTCTAAGTCTGTTGTCTGTGAGGAAAGACCTGGGGCTTCCCTGACAGTTCTGAGGTTCAAGGAGCAGCCCTAGATTTGTAGCAGACACAGAGAGCTGTCCAGGCCCCAACGGGAGCATGCAAGGGTTAGGGGAGTGGCTATGGGGGCCCAGCGTGACACTACTTTCATGTCTTCCCCAGATGCACAAACGAGAGCGAACTTGCAAGGACTACATCAAGGTGAGGTCCCAGCCAACAGGGAGATGGGTAGAGGTGGAAAGGAAGGGAACAAGAGCACGTGGGGAACTCAGCGCTGTCCCCCTACCTGTGTAGGCCGTGGTGGAGACGGTGGACAACCTCCTCCGGCCGGAGGCACTTGAGTCTTGGAAGGACATGAACGCTACGGAGCAAGTGCACACGGCCACCATGCTCCTGGATGTGCTAGAGGAGGGCGCCTTCTTGCTGGCCGACAATGTCAGGGAGCCCGCCCGCTTCCTGGCTGCCAAGCAGAATGTGGGTGAGTGCCATAACCATCTGGGTCATGCTGGTGCAAGTCCAAAGACCCAGAGCCATAGAGGAGGCTGGCCCCTGGCTGGATACAAGCTTTAATTCCACATGCCCTGCCATCCCTGTGCCCACAGTCCTGGAGGTTACTGTCCTGAACACAGAAGGCCAGGTGCAGGAACTGGTCTTCCCCCAGGAGTACCCCAGCGAGAACTCCATCCAGCTGTCGGCCAACACTATCAAGCAGAACAGCCGTAACGGTGAGCGCCCTGCCAGACCTCAGTGGGAACACTGTGGGCCCCCCCTCAGCCCTCAGTTGCCATCTTTGCTGCTCACAGAGAGCAAAGGTTCTGCACTTCAACCAAGTTTTATATGCTCTTAGTGGGTGCTGTAGGTCTAACAGAGCTGTCTTGTGGGCAGCTTTTTGGTACCCCATAGCTCAGAGAAGACTAGAACAAGAGAGGTCAGGGATCTGCCCAGGTCACACAGGGAAGAAGAGTGGATCAGAACAACCCCATGCCCCAGCCTCTGTGCTGCCATCCTAATTGCCCACCCCTGAACAACGGTCTTGGGACAAGGGCTCCAGGCCCCCCACACTCTGCCGAGGCCTGGCTTCAGAAGTCCCTGTGCCCAGTGTGACTTAAGAGCTGTAGTGAAGCCAGGGGCCTGGTTGGAGGGGGCTGGCCAAGGACAGCCACCACATCCCCTGTGCCTGTCCTCCCCAGGGGTAGTCAAAGTCGTGTTCATCCTCTACAACAACTTGGGCCTCTTCCTGTCCACGGAGAATGCCACAGTGAAGCTGGCAGGCGAGGCTGGCTCGGGGAGCACTGGGGGCGCTTCCCTGGTGGTGAACTCACAGGTCATCGCGGCATCCATCAACAAGGAGTCCAGCCGCGTCTTCCTCATGGACCCTGTCATCTTCACTGTGGCCCACTTGGAGGTGAGCCCACAGCCAACAGTCCTGCACTGTGTGTTCCCTGCTCCAACAGCGAGTTACAGGCCCTCCCAGGGTCATACCATTTGTCCTCAGAGATCTGATTTGGCTGGCTGTCACCTTGGGCCCCAAACCTCATGTGCTTTTTTTTTTTTTGGTACCAGGAATTGAACTCAGGACCTTGCACTTGCCAGGCAGGTGCTTGTGCCACTGAGCTATGTCCCCAGTACTCTCAGGTGCTTTTTCCCTGCTAGTTGCTATCCCTGGAGCTAGGTGCAGGAGCCAGGGTATGTTCCTGGTTCTGACACCCTGGTCACTGCTGCACAACAGGCCAAGAACCACTTCAATGCCAACTGCTCCTTCTGGAACTACTCAGAGCGCTCCATGTTGGGCTACTGGTCAACTCAGGGCTGCCGCCTGGTGGAGTCCAACAAGACCCACACCACATGTGCCTGCAGCCACCTCACCAACTTCGCCGTGCTCATGGCTCACCGAGAGATCGTAAGCTGTGGCGCACTGCCCCTCCAGGGCCCACTCTGCTGGCCCGGCTTTGCATGGCACCTGAGGGTGTGCACGGTGTGGGCAGTGCTAGGGCGGCCAGCCTTGGGGGTGGGGGGCCACCATCCTGTCCTACCTGGGGCAGGGGCCACACCTGTGTTTCATCTGGTCACATCCACCCTCTCCCGAGGCACTCTGCAGAAGCATGTTGCTGTCACCTTTGTCATCTCTCCACAAGCCTTCCAGAGCATGAGGAAGCAAGCAGCGGCCTGCAGCAGGGTGGGGCTGACAAGCGGGCCAATGGGCAGCCCTGGAGGGCCTTGCCTGCAGCTGGTGCCTGGCCGGGCCTGACACACACCTGGCTGTGTGCAGCCGGAGGCCCTGAGCCGGCCCCGCTCCTTCTCCCCAGTACCAGGGCCGCATCAATGAGCTGCTGCTGTCCGTCATCACCTGGGTAGGCATTGTCATCTCCCTGGTCTGCCTGGCTATCTGCATCTCCACCTTCTGCTTCCTGCGGGGGCTGCAGACTGACCGCAACACCATCCACAAGAACCTCTGCATCAACCTCTTCCTGGCCGAGCTGCTCTTCCTGGTCGGGATAGACAAGACTCAGTATGAGGTGGGCTGGGGCCAGGCGGGGCCTGGGCCATGGCAGGGTGGACACCTGCGGCCTGGCCTCCCTCACCAGTGGCTGTCCTCCCTGCAGATCGCCTGCCCCATCTTCGCCGGCCTGCTGCACTACTTCTTCCTGGCTGCCTTCTCCTGGCTGTGCCTGGAGGGCGTACACCTCTACTTGCTGCTGGTGGAAGTGTTCGAGAGCGAGTACTCCCGCACCAAGTACTACTACCTGGGCGGCTACTGCTTCCCGGCCCTGGTGGTGGGCATTGCAGCAGCCATTGACTACCGGAGCTATGGCACCGAGAAGGCGTGAGTGTGCCCCATCGCACCTGCTGGCTCTCCACTCAGTGCACCCTTAAGGCCAGCACTCTGGGGTCACTGGCTTCTCTCCACCCAGCCTGTTTTCTTTACAGCTGCTGGCTCCGAGTGGACAATTACTTCATCTGGAGTTTCATTGGGCCTGTCTCCTTTGTCATCGTGGTAAGTGGCCAGCAGGGTGCTCAGCTCTGGGCTCCTTCCCTCGTCCAGGCCAGCCCTGACCCTGCTCCCACTGAAGTTCAAGAGGTGCTATTTTGGGAACTGAATCAAAAGTGAGCAGCTGGCCAAGAAGACTTGGAGACAAGGTCTGCAGCGCCCCAGCACCAATGCCTGATCATGTGGTGCTGGGAAGGGGCTGCTGCTGTGTGCATTAAGGCTGGGCCCTCCAGCATGGGCCCTGAAGGCACGAGTCACAGCTGAGACCTGGCAGGTCAGCCTGGCTCAGAGCCCACGGCGCGGGAGGGACTCAGCCCCCCTTGCCTTCCCCAGGTGAATCTGGTGTTCCTCATGGTAACCCTGCACAAGATGATCCGAAGCTCCTCCGTGCTCAAGCCAGACTCCAGTCGCCTTGACAACATTAAGTGAGTCCCACCCCATATCCCTGTCCTCCTGAGGCCCCATGGTTGGGCCTGGCCTCTCCCTGGGCCTCCTTGGATGCTGTACTCGTAACACCAGCGGCGTCCCGTGTGTGGGTCTTAAGTATCAGATGGGTGTTTTCTTGCACTTGTTACATACCTACTTAGCAGTATTAGGAAGCATATGATTAGCACATCCAGCCTGTGGTTTTGAGGCCAAGTTCAAATGTGGATCTGTTCAAGCGCAAGTAAAAACAGGCTGCAGGAGAGGGCCTAAGAGGTGTGAGTAGTTGAGAGCTGGAGGTGTCACCAAGCAGGCCGCCTGCTCCGATGCTGCTCCACCCTAGGCTGGGGCCTGGTAGGGGAAGGTGGTGGACTCCTCTGCCTCCTCTGGCAGGTCCCTGACCCATCTGTCCCACTCCCCCAGGTCGTGGGCCCTGGGAGCCATTGCACTGCTCTTCCTGCTCGGGCTCACCTGGGCTTTCGGCCTCCTCTTCATCAACAAGGAGTCGGTGGTCATGGCCTATCTCTTCACCACCTTCAACGCCTTCCAGGGGGTCTTTATCTTCGTCTTTCATTGCGCCTTACAGAAAAAGGTAAGGCCAGCACCTTTTCGGGACAGTCTAGTCTCAGGCCAGGCCGGTGGCAGAAGTGAAGGGGAAGCAGGTGCCCTGAGTCCAAGTACCTCACACGGCACAGCCGTGTCCGCTGGGGGGAAGCCAGGCTCAGGTCAGGGACGATTTGGCCAGACACAGCAACCCAGAGGAACATGAAGGCAGCACTGGTCTGCGACAGCAGCACTCTTGCCAGTGTAGGCACGACGCAGGCCCACGGGGAGGAGACAGCTGGGCACCAGCCTGGCGGAGCATTTCCTCTGCAGTGATGCTGGAAGAACTGTAAAGTCTGGGGTGATAGAAAGGTCCATTCTAAAATAGATCTGTTGGGCTGGGGAGATGGCTCAGTGGAATACGCACTTGCCTGGCAAGCGCAAGGGCCTGAGTTCAATCCCCAGTCCCGAAGGAAAAAAAAAAAAAAAGATCTGTTAAAGCCTCTGTCTTCCCAGAAATGTATGAAGGAGACAACAGTAACAGTAGCAGGCGAGTGTGAAGAGAGTGCAGGCAGCAGGCCAGAGACCAAAGTTTTCAGAAACTGAGCCGAGCCAGGAGCAGTGGCACACACCTGCAACCCCAGCACTCTGGAGGCTGAGACAGGAGGCTTTACCAGGGATTCAAGGCCAGCCTAGGCTACATACTGAGACCCTGTCTCAAAAGAACAAGAATAAACAAAAACAGCTCAGCTGATAGCAAACCTCATCTCTAGGCACCAGGTTGCTGGGAAAAAGCAGAGGCAGGAGCTTGGGAGCCCTGGCTCTAGGGGAGCTGGGCACACAAGGCTGGGGCTGCAGCTTGGGGGCCCTAGCTTCTTACACACGTGACACTTGGCTCTTGCTCCGGCACATGCAGGCACATGCATCCAACACGCGCTATGGGTCACCCAGACATCAGAGCAGATCCAAGCACAGCCAGGTTTCCCCATAGACAGCCCCAGACCTACACAGTCCAACCTGGCCCCTCATAGGGCCCATCTGCTCTCAGCCCCATGCTGCCTTGGCCTCAAATCCTTCCCAAGAAAGTCATGGGCTACTACCTTTTTTTCCTCACTTTTTGGCCTAAATGTCTCCTGGTGAGTCTCCTGACACATCCTAAACCCCAACAGTATTGTCCCATCCCTTCCTGGCCACAGCTTTCTCCATACAACTGACACCCTGAGACATACTACATGGGGTACAGTCAGCCCTCTACACCCCTGGCTTCTACATCAGCAGATACTATCAGTGGTAGACTGAAAATATACAGTGTAACAGCGGTTTACATAGTTCTGCATTGTATTAGACACTCTGACCTACAGATAACTTAAGACTTGTGCTGCTCTGCAGCACTGCACTGTCGGTATAGGGAACTTGAGTATCGGACTTGGCTATCTGAAGGGGGCCTAGAACCATCCTCCCCATGCCAAGCGTGCTTATGTTACACGTGAACACTGCAGGATAGGGTGCCTGGTACACGGATTCTCCTCAGTGCTCTGCTGACTTGGGACTACAGGGTCAGTGGAAGCCGAGAAGGGGATGCCCCCAGGGGAAACAATGAATCTGAATGGCGGGCTGTCTGGGATAGGTGCCGGGTTCCGCAGGTCCTGAGGCAAGAACAGCCTCTGGCTGGCCTCACAAAAGAGACTGCTGTCTGCTGCCCGCTGACTGTCCCTGTCCATCCCCCAGGTGCACAAGGAGTATAGCAAATGCCTGCGTCACTCCTACTGCTGCATCCGCTCCCCACCGGGGGGCACCCATGGCTCCCTCAAGACCTCAGCCATGCGGAGCAACACCCGCTACTACACAGGCACCCAGGTACTGGGGTGGGACGGGGCTGTGGTGTCTGGGAGAGCAGTCTCCATGATCCCAGAGGATGCGTGGCACTAAGACCGCCACACACCCTGTTCCCCCAGAGCCGAATTCGGAGGATGTGGAATGACACAGTAAGGAAACAGACGGAGTCCTCCTTCATGGCAGGGGATATCAACAGTACACCCACCCTGAACCGAGGTGAGGGGTATCCCTCTGCCATAGCAGCTCCTGACCCCCACAGGCCTCAGCCCCTTGTCTATGGGCTTCCTTGTGACTTCTGACCCTTGGGCAGGTACCATGGGGAACCACCTCCTGACCAACCCCGTGCTGCAGCCCCGAGGGGGCACTAGCCCCTACAACACCCTTATCGCAGAGTCGGTGGGCTTCAACCCCTCCTCTCCCCCTGTCTTCAACTCCCCAGGTGAGACACTCTGGGTGCCTGCACACAGGCTGCCCCTGGGGCCTGGGTACAGGGAGCCGGACTCTGTGCTGACTTTCACCCTTCTCTTTCCCTTCTGGCTGGCATGCAGGAAGCTACCGGGAACCCAGTAAGTGTCTCTTTCCTTGTGGCTTTGCACATTCTGGGAGGAACATGGTGTCAGCCTTCAGCTGGCCTCCCTTAGGGCCCAGAGCACAGGATGCCCTTCTATGAAGATGGATAGTGGCCCTGGGTTTGGGGCCATCAGGTGCAGACGAGGGGGTGGGGAGCTCACAAACAGGGTGAGGGGCTCGGGCCTCCTCTCTGCAGATTGGCCCTCACTCCTCCCCATACTGCTGAGCAGCTGCCTTTAGTACAGGCAAAGAGAATAAGGGTACAAGACCAGAGTCCTGGGGATGAAGGGGAACCCCCTCACCTCCTGACCAGCCCTTCTGTTCCACAGAGCACCCCTTGGGAGGCCGGGAAGCCTGTGGCATGGACACCCTGCCCCTTAACGGCAACTTCAACAACAGCTACTCCTTGCGAAGTGGAGACTTCCCACCCGGGGATGGGGCCCCTGAGCCACCGCGAGGCCGCAACCTGGCTGACGCCGCAGCCTTCGAGAAGATGATCATCTCGGAGCTGGTGCACAACAACCTGAGGGGCAGCAGCAGTGGGGCTAAGGGGCCCCCGCCACCTGAGCCCCCTGTGCCATCTGTGCCAGGGGGCAGTGGTGAGGAAGAGGCTGGTGGGCCCGGGGGTGCTGACCGGGCAGAGATCGAACTTCTCTACAAGGCCCTGGAGGAGCCACTGCTGCTGCCCCGGGCCCAGTCGGTGCTGTACCAGAGCGACCTGGACGAGTCGGAGAGCTGCACGGCAGAGGATGGCGCCACCAGCCGGCCCCTCTCCTCCCCTCCAGGCCGGGACTCCCTCTATGCCAGCGGGGCCAACCTGCGGGACTCGCCCTCCTACCCGGACAGCAGCCCTGAAGGGCCCAGTGAGGCCCTGCCCCCGCCTCCACCTGCTCCTCCTGGGCCCCCCGAAATCTACTACACCTCACGCCCACCGGCCCTGGTGGCCCGGAACCCCCTGCAGGGCTACTACCAGGTGCGGAGGCCTAGCCATGAGGGCTACCTGGCGGCCCCAGGCCTCGAGGGGCCAGGGCCTGATGGGGACGGGCAGATGCAGCTGGTCACCAGTCTCTGAGGGCACTTGTGGACCAGGGGCTGGCAGCTCAGGCCAGGGAGGAGACCCTGGGCACGCCCCTCATGGGAGAGGGAGACTGGTGGAGGTAGTGGCTGGTGGACCACTCTCTCCAGCGCCCCTTGGCCATGGGCCCAGGGTCCCCTCAAGGGGCTCTGATATGGGGGCCCAAGGTGCCAGGGTTCACAGACAGGGTTTCCCACCAGCCACGTGCACCAGCTCTGTTTGGGAGAAGGCCAGCGAGGAGGAGTCTGGAGGCCGCAGGGAGTCAGGAGGGAGAGCCCAGCAGGGCGCAACCTGCTTTTTGCCTCTCCCTTTCCCCCTATCCTGCCACCCCCAGAGGGAGCAGCAAGGGCTCTGGTCTCCCTGGGGGTGGGGCAGCTTCTGAGGTTGCCAAAGGCTTCCCTGGCTGTAGGACAGATGAACATGCTGTTCCCGCATGGCAGCTCCTTGGAGACCAGGTCCTGCAGCCCGGGAGGAAGCCTGGCTGTGGCTAAGGCCACAGTCGAGGGGCTGCCTGGGCCATGGTGATCTCGAGGTGGAACTTTCTCTGAAGCTCCTGCCCCCTTGCTGTTGTCCCACCTCCCCCGGCAAGCCTGCCTCACCCCCCAGAGTGCACCCAATGACCCTTCCTGGGGTGACTCCTGACGAAGCACAACTCCCCATGCTGGCCCGGCCCACAGTGGCTCCAGGTCTGTGGGGTCTGTGGGCTTGGCGCTCTGGGGAGCAGATCTCGGGTCTGGATCTCCCTGGGGAGTGGGTCCTGGGCTTGGATCTTTCCCTAGGGGGCCCTCTCACCCCTTACTCTCTCCTCCCCCTTTGCTGTAAATATTTCAACAAAATGGAAAAACAAAAAAAAAGACAAAAAAAAAAAAAATCTCATCACTTGAAGCCACCGGGCGCCTGAGGCCAGGCCGGCCCGGACTTTCTCTGGAGCAGAGGGCACTGCCTCCCTGGCAGCCAGGACTTCTCCGTGTTCGTGTGCATCCCGGCCGGGGTGGGAGGGCCGCCAGAGCAGCTTTTTACAATCCAGAGACAAACAAAATCTAGAAGCAACAGCAAAACAAAGAACCCGTTTCCCTCCCGGCACCCTGCTCCGCACCCTGTCATCAGCCCTTGGGGCGACACCTCACCACCTGCCCCAGGACCAAGGCTGCCTCCCTCTCTGCCTGGCCCGGGAGACACCCTCACACCCAAAGATGCTTTTGCCAAGACGCTGCGCTCCACTGGGCCTGCTTCATGTACCCTGCTTCTGGGACTCCCGGCAGCAGGCAGAGGAGGTGGATGGGGAAGGGACGGGTGGGTGAGGGCAAAGGCTTTGCTGTGGTCAATGGGGGGCTGGTGGTGGGGCAGCAGTAAGCAGTCACCTCCCCTTCACCTACCAGGAAGCCAGGATGTCTGTGTTCCCAGCCTGTCCCACACAGCCAGGCTTGATGGGTGTCTCCTGAGCACCTCCCCTCCCTGCCCCTTCGTCGTGGTGGTCCGGCCTCCCCAGCCCCCTACCTTTCAGGACAGCGTAGCCCCATTGCCACACTGTCGCAGCACCTCATTGCCATTGCCCCAAGGCAGCCCTCCCGCTCCGTCAACCTCTCCTGTCACCCTCTTTCTCACAAGTGCCATGAGTTTCAAACATCTCCGGGTCTCAGCCTGCTGCTGCCATGAACTTCTTTGGGTTAAGGGGGAGGGGCTCCAGAAGGAACTGGAGGAAGGGGACAGGTAGGTGGCTGGAGGGACCCTTTTTGCTGCTAGAAAGCCCCCTCCCTTCTCCTGGGGAGCTGGGGCTGGCTTGTCCCCACCAATCAGGAGAGAAGGGTCGGACCAAAGATGGTGGTTTGTCCCACAGGGGAACAGGCATGGGGAGGAGGTGGGGTGCAGTTCCATCTCTGGCTTTTTCTGGGGGAATCTTAACCCATTTAACCAGGAGCCCTCCAGCAAGGTTGAGGGGGAAGAGGAAGGCTGGGAAGGTCTTGCCCCAGAGCTGTGTGAGCAGAGCCCTCTGCGTGTAGGGGCTGACCCAGGGAAATGGGCACAGCATTCTGGCCTAAAGGTGTCAGGAGCTGAGTCTCCTGAGAAGTAGGTCCCTTCCCCAGCCCAGCCCTCCTCTGTCTCTCCAGACATGGACAATCAAGGGGAGAGAGGGTGCAGCGGGCCCTTGGAATCACCTCCGGGCTGTGTGGCACAGCCCCCTGGTGGGGCTGGGTACCACTGCAGTCCCATGCAAAGCCACCCAGAGAGCCCAGGTGTCCCTGCCCCGACCAGACCTGGTGCCTTGATGCCCCTACCCCAGCTGGCACAGTACAGAGAAGGGTCTTGGTTTCCTCTCCTGCTCCCCTCCTTGGGCTCCTGGATTCATTTGCTCCCAAATCTTAATTTTTCTCAGAATTGTTTTCTTTTGGGTTCCCTCGCCTTTCCTCCTCTCCTGTTGCCACCTCTCCGTGTCTCTCGCTGTCTCCGTGCTCCCTTTCTACTCCACCCTCCTCCTCTGGGCCTCCCCCACGTCCCCCAGCCCACCCTCCCTCCTCGGTCTCCTTTTCGATATGCCAAACCAATTTTGGGTCGAGTGCATTTAACAAGAACAAAACAAAAGGCTCATAATAAGAACGTTTCAGAAAAAAAACAAAAAGTTTTAAAAAAATTGTTGAGTCAAAAAGTCAAACAATAAAGAAATTAAGATTTCTTGGAAAGACGAGTAGCGTGTGACTCATTGGGGGGCGAGAAAGGGGTGGGGGAAGCTCTGCACCCTAGGAATTGGCAGGAGGGTACCTGGCCCTCCCCGGAGTGGGGCTGTAGACAGCTGGAACAGCTCAGCGTGGCCCCGGGCTGACTGAAAAGGCGCGTGTGGTTTCCTTGGACTCCCCACAAGGCTCCATCTCAAAGGTGGAGGGACTGAGGCTTATGGCATCCGGACAGACTCGGGGATCTGGCCAGGCCACAGTGCCTTCATTCCTCACAGACACCCCTCTGGGGCTTGCCATCTGTCCCCAGGCTGTATGGACCAAAGCCTGTGAACAGTAAGCCAATCTCTGGCCTGGACTCCCACATGCTGCGATGGCTGGAATTGTGTCACGCTTAGGTCCATGGCCCAGATGTAACTGCGGTGTTCACAGATGCAGTTGGCCAGTGAGAGACTGCCCTCGACCTGCACGCTCACCTGATGCCTCCCACACCAGCTCAGTCCTCCCCAGCTCCCAACCTCCATGCTGGCCAGCCCGGGCCAGCGCTCAGTCCTCTCTGGTACATCTCCCTCCTGGGAGGTCTCCCGTCTCCCAGTTTACCTGAACGCCAGTGGCTCCCAAAGGGGGTTGCACCAGCTGCTGTTCCCAGGATGCATGCCCTCCCTGGGGTCATGCAGGTCTCCTTCCACAGGCCACCCTGCCTCCCATGGTCCCACCCTTATGCCAGCACGCACCCCTGTCCTGCCTGTATCTAGTCTGGCAGGAGCTAACCAGTTCTCCCACTTGGCTCCAGCCATCCCAACTCACCAGGACCATGCAAGTACCCTGACTAGCTCCCTGTCCCTCAACAGGCTTTTCTCAACATGGAAACCAGAGTGACCTTGGGGAACATCCTGGCCCTGGCTCACTCCATTGGGCTCCCCAGCAGGAGGCTGGGGTTCATACTGCACCCCACAGCACCTGACTCACTGCAGTGGGAACAGATGCCTCAGGCCACAACACTCAGCCAAGAAGGGAACCCAGGGTGTTCTAGGGCTTGCACATCCACATGGGGCCCACTCACGTCCCTGCCCACCACCCACAGGCACGCAGGATGGATATAGCAGACTGACCCGAGCCCCTCATCAGGGAGTCTGGGCTGTCACTGCCCCATCACCACCATGTAGGCAGTGTCACCTCTCCTTCAGACCCCAGAGCACACATGCGCCAGGGTGATGACTTAGCAGCAAAGCACCTGCCTGGCAAGTGTAGGATCCTGAGTGTCATTCCCAGTACCAAAGGACAGACATGCAGGCCTCTGCCTGAGGGCACCTGTGCTACCCACCCGTGAAGACCTGTTCTTCTACCCCTGCCGATGGGAGTCTGGCCCTGCTAGCCTCTTCCCCCCAACACCCTTCACAAGTCGCTGGGCCTCCCAGCCTCGCCCCAAGCCCAGCAGCTGATGCTCATTTCTCTCTGACCCATCCAGCTGCTTGGCAGCAGCCTACCTCTGTCCACCTGGCCCAACCATCACCTTGGGCCAGCCAGTCCTCCCCAGGACGGATCCTAAGAAGCCACATGTGAGCGTGAGTGTGACTCCACCACAAAGAACACAAGACAACACAGAGCAGCAGCACAGCACAGCTACAGAGATGATGCATAGCCAAGCAAAAACGCTGCCCCTGTCCACTAAAGCCCAGGGCACAGAAGACCAGTGAATGAAGTGGATCATGTTCCCAATAGCAAGTGTAAAAGCTTGGGTAGAAACGAGTAGGCAGCCGGGCCTGGTGGCATGAGCCTATCACCTGGCACTTGGGAGGCCAAGGCCAGAGGACCTCCATGCATTCAGGTCCAGTCTGAACTAGAATTCCAGGCTACCCTGAAATTATAAAGGGAGACGCTATCTCAAAAAATCCAAAACTTGCCAGTCTTGGTGGCACATGCCTATAGCCCCAGCATTCAGGAGGCAGGGGCAGGAGGATTGCCATGAATTCAAGACCAGCCTGGGCAACATTATGAATTCAAGGCTACCCTGAACTATATAGTGAGATCCAGTCTCAAAACAAGACAACTCAAAAACTAAAGACAAGGTAAAATAAGCTCCTATATTTGCTTTGTTTTTAAATGGCATATTTATGCAAAGTGTAGACACAAAAATTTTTGTGTATACAAATACAAATTGTACGTGTAGTCTAGAAAATAAATGCTATACACAGAATATTCAGTTAATTTGTAGCGGGTAATTTTTACTTTTTTTAAACGTCTTAGCTTTAAACATCTTATTACTTCTGTAAAGGGGAGAAGTATTTGTATCCTACTTATTATGTGAGAACAGAGGCCTGGAGAGATCAATATGACTGAACAACAGGCTGAGCTAACCACACTGATTATAGTGTGGTAACGAGTAATCTGTGTGGTGGTGGTTCCAGAAGAGACAACCGTGGGAGAGACTTGGGCATCGATAGAAATTTGCTCTGTGACCAGGTCAGCATTTTCAGTCACCATGACGGACAAGTCCAGAAGGTCTTAAGTTCTGTGGCCCATCTTTTCTCACTTTTGCTGGTGCTTGGTTTGGTTTGGAGACTGGTTCTCCTTGTGTATCCCAGATGGGCCTCAAACTCAAAGCGGTCCTGCCTCAGCCTCCAAAGGCCAGGATGATTAGCATGCACCACCCCACACCCCACACCCCACAATTTGTTTTTCTTTTTTTGCAGGGACATGGTCTCACCCTGTAGCCCTGACTGGCCTCCAATTTGTGTCGATCCTCCTGCCTCAGCTGGCCAAGGGCTGGGATTTCAGGTGCGCACCACCACATGCAGCACAGCATAGTTTTAATGGATCTTGCACAGTTTTTCAACATCATAAGATGGTCTTCAGGAAAAGTGATCTACTGGCTTCCTAAGTAGTTCCTAACAGTTCACTAAATAATGTCTTAAAAAGCACATCTGTTGGGGCTGGTGAGATGGCTCAGTGGTCTAAAGCACCTACTTAGAACAAGCTTAGCAAAGCACAGGGACTGCGGTTCAATCCCCCAGCACCACATGCCAGCCAGCCCCGCCCCCTGGTGGGCTGAGCTGGCCACACACACACACACACACACACACACACACACACAAATAAATAAAATTAAAAAAAAAAAAGCACATCTGTTAACATCACCACTGACCTCATCGGTATTAATCATGAAAAGACTGTTAAGCTT